TGGGTTGTTGTTTTTTGGGTGTTGTAGTTAACCTGTTAGGGTGTTTTGAGTGTTTGTAGTTTGGTTGTTAGGGTGCTTTGAGTGTTTGTAGTTTGGTTGTTAGTGTGTTTTGGGTGGTTGTAGTTTGGTTGTTAGGGTGTTTTGAGTGTTTGTAGTTTGGTTGTTAGGGTGTTTTGAGTGTTCGTAGTTTGGTTGTTAGGGTGTTTTGAGTGTTTTTAGTTTGGTTGTTAGGGTGTTTTGAGTGTTTGTAGTTTGGTTGTTAGGGTGTTTTGAGTGTTTGTAGTTTGGTTGTTAGGGTGTTTTGAGTGTTTGTAGTTTGGTTGTTAGTGTGTTTTGGGTGGTTGTAGTTTGGTTGTTATAATGTTTAGGGAGCTTATAGTTTGGTTTCTAGGGTGTTATGTGGTTGTAGTTTAGTTTTTAGGGTGTTTAAGGTAGTTGTAGTTTGGTTGACAGTGTGTTTTAGGTGGTTGTAGTTTAGTTGTTAGGGTGTTTTGAGTGTTTGTAGTTTGGTTGTTAGGGTCGTTTGGGTGGTTGTAGATTGGTTTATCATGTGTTTTGGGTTCTTGTAGTTTGGTTGTCAATGTGTTTTAGGTGGTTGTAGTTTGGTTGTTAGGGTGGTTTTAGGTGGTTGTAGTTTGGTTGTTGGGGTTGTTTGGGTGGTTGTTAGGGTGTTTTGGGTTCTTATTGTTTAGTTGTCAATGTGTTTTAGGTGCTTGTAGTTTGGTTGTTAGGGTGGTTTTAGGTGATTGTTGTTTAGTTGTTGGGGTGTTTCGAGTGCTTGTAGTTTGGTTGTTAGGGTAGGTTTGTGCTTGTAGTTTGGTTGTCATTGTGTTTTGCGGGTTTGTAGTTTGGTTGTTAGTGTCTTTTAGGTGGTTGTAGTTTAGTTGTTAGAGTGGTTTTAGGTGGTTGTAGTTTGGTTGTCAGGGTGTTTTGGGTGCTTGTAGTTTGTTTGTTAGGGTGGTTTTAGGTGGTTGTAGTTTGGTTGTTGGGGTTGTTTGGGTGGTTGTTAGGGTGTTTTGGGTTCTTATTGTTTAGTTGTCAATGTGTTTTAGGTGCTTGTAGTTTGTTTGTTAGGGTGGTTTTAGGTGATTGTAGTTTAGTTGTTGGGGTGTTTCATGTGCTTGTAGTTTGGTTGTTAGGGTAGGTTTGTGCTTGTAGTTTGGTTGTCATTGTGTTTTGCGGGTTTGTAGTTTGGTTGTTAGTGTCTTTTAGGTGGTTGTAGTTTAGTTGTTAGAGTGGTTTTAGGTGGTTGTAGTTTGGTTGTCAGGGTGTTTTGGGTGCTTGTAGTTTGTTTGTTAGGGTGGTTTTAGGTGGTTGTAGTTTGGTTGTTGAGGTGTTTCGTGTGCTTGTAGTTTGCTTATCAGTGTGTTTTTGTGTTTGTTGTTTGGTTGTTAGTGTCTTTTAAGTGGTAGTAGTTTGGTTGTTAGGGTGGTTTTAGGTGATTGTAGTTTAGTTGTTGGGGCGTTTCGTGTGCTTGTAGTTTGGTTGTTAGTGTCTTTTGGGTGGTAGTAGTTTACTTGTAAGGGTGTTTTGAGTAATTGTAGTTAGGTTGCAAGTTACTGGTGTGTTAGTTGCTAGGGTGTCCTTTAGGATGTTGCTATGGTGTTTTCAGGTGTTCTAGGAAGTTGTAGTTTGGTTGTTAGGGTGTTTTGGTGA